AAAATTTGGAAACATACAAACTGATAAAGATGATTTATAAACCTCTAAATCTTACTATTTAGATCTATTTATTTTTAACCCGTTAGTACTCTTCTTTCTGAAGTTCTTTGATATGTGTGTGTGTGCGCACGTGCGTGTGTTTGTGTGTGTGTGTGTGTGTGTATTCATACATTAAGACAGGCTGTATTTACAGTTTTGCCCCTTTTAAAATAACATAAAATTATTTGAAAATATTTTTTCAGTTACATAATACTTGATCTCATAGATTCATAGTATAATTATACACAATTCCTGAGAATTTAAGCTCTTTCTAACTCTGCTTCATTGTAGATACATATTTAATTGTATTTTTTATTATTTTCTTAGTAAAGTAGTTATTGAAGTATATGTGCTGAAAATAAGGGTATTTTTCCAACTACTGATATATTTTGAAAAATCATTTATTTTACAAAAAAACTTGATTTTACTATAAAACTTACAAACACAAGTCCTGAGAGAAAACACTTTTAAAGTCTCTTGACATTCTGAGATGTTTGATTCAATCACTGGAAAAAAAACAATTGTATGGTAGTGGAATTTATGGCAACTACAAAATTCATATATTGAGGAATAAGAGAAAGAGTGATATTTCAAAATGCCCACTATGTTGTTAATATGATATTTTAGCTTTAGGAAGCTCTATAGTAAAGGACATCATCTCTATATATAAAAGGCTAATATGCAAGTGTCCCCTCGGGAGTTCGACCAGGAGAATAGGAGTTTTATTGCTTGTTATGACGTGCACTGACCACCAGGAGGCAGTGTGGAACATGGCGGGCAACCAGTGGCGGTGGAGGGTGCTGAGGAAGCAAGGGAAGGAGGAGGCAGGAGGCGGGAAGGTGGGGGAATCTGATCAGCCCTGATCACTGGCCAGGCCTAGGGACCCTACACCTGTGTGTGACTTTCATGCACTGGGCCTCTGGTTTGATTACTAAATATTGAGGATCTAGTGGTAAATATAAATACTGAATATGGGAGGATTTTACAGAAATAGGAAAGCCTTAAAAGTATGTACAAGAGAAAATTAAAAAATGGATTATAAAAGACAGAAGCTTTATAAATCTTAAGCCAGTAGAAAGAGATTTGATACATATTACTAAGGTACATACATAGTTTGCTGGTGTAGAGTAATAAAGAATCTTGAATAACTATGATTTGCATATGGGATAATCATGAAAAGACTTAAAGATAAAACTAAGAACTAAGACTTCACTTCCAACCTCACCCACAAAAGGAGAAAATAAATGAGGTGATTATGTATTCCAAAATAGAAGGGAAAACACACACACACACACACACACACACACACACACCAGAAAACTATAGGAATGAAAGAGGTCCATAAGCATGGTCAATATTAGGAAGCTAGTCATGACTAAGTCTTTTCAAGTGTCAGTTTTTTGAGAGGCTGAATGAAGGGAATACATATACTTTAACGCTGCCCAGGAGGAGGTAATTTTGCAGTCCTGCTCTGTATTAAGTTTCAGTCCTTATTCTATCAGGAAACCTTATTAATTGTAGTGCCACACACCCATTTAGTTAAGTAAATTGGACAATTTTAATATAAGTACCTAAGATTCTTCTTAGTTGGGACCAACTCAAAAAGGGCATCTGGATAATCACAAACTAAGCTGTCCAGTGTGTTTCCGTATTCAGAACCACGTGCCTCAGACAGCACAACATGCCCTGGATCCAGTTTTTAGTTTAGTCACCATCATCATTTCCTTTTAAAAAACTGAACTTATTGGGCTGACATTGGTCAATGAAATTATATACGTTTCAGGTATACAATTTTATAATACATTATGTGTATATTGTGTATTCACTATCCCAACCATCATCATTGGCTTTTAACTAGCAAACATTAGCACATAGTTTTGATATGTGGAGTTTGGGACTCCAAAAATCTTCTGAGTCACTTTGTCCCCTGGTTTATAAAGGCTGCAGCAGTTTGTCTCTTCATGACCCTTTCTAATTGGACCCTTCCTTAATTTATGACCCCTGTGATTTCCTAATTGGTCATCTTTCTGCAGAGTATCAGCTTCAAAGTCCAAAGCCTACGTGGTGCCCACTTCAGCCTCTCCCTGTCTCTTGTGACAATTCTCTATCCTCTGTGAATTACGTTTCCCTCTTCCTGGTATCTTGTGACAATTCTCTCTGTGAAAGTAAGAAAAGCACTGGAGCCCATCACAGATGTGCATTCCTCTCCCAAGGACCTCCCCCTTCCCCCCAAAACTGTCTGTCCTGTCTCTAAAATTCCTTTCAATTTTATTGCTAAGAAATAGAATGTGAGCTTTGTGGATCCTTATTCTCTAAAAACAAAGTGGTCTAGCATTTCTTTATATCAAAAATGTAAGCAGCCCAGTCAGGTTTATCAAATGTAAAGTAGAAAGTTCCCATTTAAGTCAACTATTTGATTGCTGATTGTGTTCTCAGTCAGATACAGTCTCAGATTCATGTTCTTCAGAGAACTGTTAATATACAGTAAATTGTATGGTTATGAAATAGAGTCTCACAGTAGATATTCAAGACAGATACTTCATACAATTAATTAAAGAGTTCACCACTAGTTCCTAAAAGCAATATTCCACACTCATTGAAAAGTGGAGTCATGAATGAAGGAGCATGGGATGCAACTATTCCATCTACATTCAAATGATACTTGCTGCAACGACTGCCCTGGGCGGGGTCTGGAGTGGGGATGGATAGTGACATAAGGGCATCAAAGCCGCTGGAGCATTCAAAGATTGCAAAGTAAACCAAATGTGGGCTTTAAGGAGAAATTGAAGCAGAATGTTAAGTGCTTCAGCAGAGTTTTATGATGCCTAAAAATTCCTAGGGCAAACTGGAGAACCTGACATAGATTGAAAAGGGTGTTTTTTGTATAATTGGAAAGGATATAGCAATAGAACCTGCAAAAGCAGCCGCTGTTAGAATCCAGATAAGCCTCTTCATAAGTTTTCATGTTTTTTTTTTTTATTTTAAAAAATGTCATTAAATAATATAAAATATACCTCCTTTAACTTAAGTAATAATAAGAGTTTACTCTGTGCTTACTAGATCGGGGCATAAGACACAGTCTCTGCTCAGATGCATCATGTAGGGCAAACTAACAAACTAGAAACTACTGCTTTAAATTACAGATAGAACAATTGAGTATGTTTCAAAGTTACTTTCTAGACAATTAAATCTATTAGCCCATAGAGTGATCACATAAAGAAGTGAGTAAGGTACATTTCTAAAATTACTTAAAATTTGTTAAGCATATATACAAGAATACATTGGTGGAGATAGCAAGAATATGAAAAGTTCCCATATTCTATTTTGACCCCATGTCATTTTAATTTGGTTCCTCATGCTGCTTTCTTTATATGCTCTTTTTCTAACTCCAATGAAAATATAAACATATGGAAGTACCCTTTATTTTCCATGTATACATTATTATATTTTACCTGTTTTTTTTGAGGTAGGGCATCCAATGTAATAGGCTAGAGACCAATATAATATATTTTATTTGTTCTCTACTTTTATCATTTTCAGAAGTTCACCACAATAATTCATTTTATATTTATAATAGTCTCATTCCTTTGAAATTAGTCATCATCAAATATGGCTTGTCAATGACAGAATGTTCAAATCTCTAGAAAAAATTTATGTGTTTATTTGAGACAAAATTTGGAGGACATCATCAGAAGGAAGATCTCAACAAATTGAGAATGCTCTGGAGAATGGCATTTTTGAAGTTTTTTTCCCCCTGCATTTAGAATCAAAGCAGAGAATTTAAGGAAGGTAAATGAAATCAATTGTTGATAGACTAAGGAGGCAGGAGAAAGCAAAGTGGGGAAATATTTAAGCTTGGATAAGAAGTAAATTAGAGAGATACATATTTATTTTGGTTGGTTGAAAATAGTTATCATGTAATATTTACACTGAAAGGGCGAGGGCTATGCCCTCCATCTTGCCCCGTACCCTCCATGTTGGGGCAGCTGCCATGTGCTCAGGAAAGTACCTTCTTCCCGGAAGCCCAGGCCCCTGCTGGCCACTCCCGGGATTTCTTTAAACTAACCAATGACAATCAAGGGACGTGCGCGCCATAGAGATGACCACATCCTGTGTAAGAAGACCGGACTTGCGCCTGGCCAATCGGCAGGGCCCACAGTCAGCTCCCCTCCCCTCACTCCACCCCCTATTAAAACCCTGTTTCTCCCACAGCGGTTTCACTCTGCTTCCTGTTGCTGTGTCGGCCAGGAGGGAGAGTGGAGCTAGCTCAATAAAGGACCCTCTGCTTTTGCATCGAACTGGCTGGCTCCCTGGTGTGGTTTTATTGGGGATCTTGAAATCTGGGCACAACATACACCACATAGAAGTGGTATGTAGGCAATAAGATAACAATGAGGAGTTTCGTGGTCTTGTAACCCAATGGCAGCCAAACTCATGGGACAGGAGCTGGTGAAAAAGAAGAGGTTTATTTGAGTGCCAGCATCTTGAGAAGATGGGGAACTTTTCCCAGTCCTCAAAAACATATCTTGCCCAGCTGGCATGGGTCAATGGTTGAGCATTAACCTATGAACCAGGAGGTCACGGTTCAATTCATGGTCAGGGCACATGCCTGGGTTGTGGGATGGATCCCTAGTGTGGGACGTGCAGGAAGCAGCTCTCATCACTGATGTTTCTCTCTCTCTCCCACTTTCTTCCTCTCTGAAATCAACAAAAAATATATTTCATATATTTAAAAACTATCTTAAGATCTCAGTGCAGACAGAGGTTTTTATAAGGATGGAAAGGGAAAGCAGAACAAAGTGATCAGGGGGAGGGGCTGTGCACATTCAGGCAGTGTCTTTGCTAAACCTAATATGGACTCTCATGGTCAGCATCCATGAGCTGGCCATCTAGTTGAATTCCTGTGTCTTGGTGGTTGATGTTAGCCAGGGCCTTGAAGGTCATGCTGCTCCTTGGGTGCTGAGTTAGTTTCCTTACACGTCCAGCGTGGAGTAGGGTTCGGTATCTGAAAGAGGAGCCGCACAACAAATGAGAGAAAAAGACACGAGATAATTTGGAAATGTTGGGGAGCCAGGAGGGCAAGTCCAAATCAAGGAGAGAGAGACTTCCTCCGATGCTCTGGCTGCTCCAACCTTTTATTTGGTCTGGGGGAGCCCTAGGGTAAGGAGGTTTGTCTGGGGTAGCCCTAGGGTAAGGAGGTTTGTCTGGGGTAGCCCTAGGGTAAGGATGTTTGTCTGGGTAGCCCTAGGGTAAGGTGGTTACCCTAGAGTAAGGAGGTTTCAATGACACACAGATTAGGTCATAACATGACCCTTAGGCAATTTACATGATTAAAGGTAGGGAGGTTGCTTCAGCTACCATTATCTAGATTAACTGGGTGGTACACAGCCCTGACCTTTGCGAGGGCTTCAAGGTTACTAACTTTTGGGGTCTCTGTCTATACTCAGCTAATAAAGACAGTAAATGGTTTCCAGCACTTAGGTTCACATAGGAATTGAAAGTGGTGATTCAAGCAAAACACACTTAGACAAGAAGCTTTCAACATGCAAACTCTAGCTTCAGGAGAATAATATCAGGTTAGAGTAAAAGGCTGGTTTAACATTTACTAAGATCAATATGGGTAGCTTTATATAAGTGTAGTGTATTCATTCTCTGTTATACTCTGGTGCTGGTGATTATGACTTCCAGAGGTCTGGAAAAGAAAATCACTCTACCATTTCAAAGGTATGTCATCCTAGATGCATAAGAACAATGAACAAGGTTCGCTTAAGGTAAAGAGTGACCTTTGCTAAGGAAGCTATAGGCCTGGGACTACCCACTGTGACCTGCCAAGTTAGGATTTATGATCAGACCAGCCTGTGTGGTCACTTTCAGTAACTGAGGTTGCCTGCCAGGCTTGCCATGTGGACCACCCCCGGAGCTTGTCATATTTATTACAAAGCCCCAATTTTGTTCACAGGCTCATTAGAAAAAACAAAACAAAACAAAAAAACACAAAATAAAAACCGCTGAGGAAATTTCTCTTGCACATTGGAAGTAGGGAATTGTCCTCTGCGAATGCACTGGTCAGCCATCTGATAGTTTTAAAGGGGTTTCACAGAGTTGCCACAAGTGCAATTCTCATACCCAATAGTTAAACCATGATGCTCAGTTTTGATGCTTGAGGAGTTGCACATTTCGATACTCTGACCAATGTAGTTCGATAAATTAATTACATGGGGGTTGGGATGTTTTAAGAAATATATATAATAGATAAAGAATCTGAAGGTTAAAGATATTAAATTACTCAATTAGGAAATTGTCGAACAAAGATTAGAACCCAGATTTGCCCTATGTGCACATTTTCTCTGATTAGATCTGCCTTGCTTAGTTCACATGGATAGAATGTCAGAGGGCTCTCTAGTATACTTTGAACATGTTGCTTTGTTGAAATGTATATAACGTGGACCCATTCCTACTGTTCCATTTCAAACCTCCACTTTACTCTTATACACATCTTAGTGTTTAGCAACAGTGAAAGAGTTTGAATTTTTCTCTGCTGGAAATTCTTGTACCTTAGCAGATTGCATGTAATTTAACCTTATTTTGAAATCTTTGTATTTCAAATAGTCCTTTTATTAGAAGAATAGTTTATTTAGTCAAAGGTAGGTGGGCCTATATACAAATGAGATGATGTGCTCTGAGATATTCCTACACTGAGATTTTTTTTAACAGAAAGGTAGCAAGAACCTCATCATTTTCTGAAGCCAAAATTGGAACTGATGGCTTGAAAATCTTGGCATACAATGAAACACAAAACCTAAAATTGGAAAAGCTGTTGGAAATCCAAGGCATCATGCATAGAATAAACACAGTCATTTCATAAGGGTAGCCTTCGCTGACCTAGACTATTCTGAATTTCCTTATGATAAACACTCAGCAACTTCCTTTTCTTTAGAACATACCATCACAATATTAATTTTTAAAATTGAAGTGTGTTAATTTGTGTAAGAACAAAAACTGTATGTAGAATTTGTCATGTTCAACATAGTATAAAGGGTGTCCCAAAAATGTTTACGCACTTTGAATAATTATTAATTCTGAAAAGGAAGAAATAGCAATTGAGCTAATAGCGTTTAAAGTGTGTATACATTTTTGGGGATACCCTGTGCATAATAATAAATCATTTATAACTGTTTAATACATGAATGATGATACAAATAAAATAATGATAAAAAGTCATTTTTCCGAGATTCTAATTCTGAACACTCCTTCACCATCCAAAAATATGTCCCAATTAGCAGTGTCCTTGCAATGATAAGTGAAATGAATTATGTAGTCCTTGTGAAAGCTTTATATATATTTGAGGTTATATTGCAAATGCACAAGAGCTCTTTGAGATTATTTCAATTCCACAATTTTACGTCAAATGCCAACATGTCAGTGTTGTTAACAATATCTTGTTTCAAAGAAATATTGAATATATTATAATTTGTAATTTAAATTATTATTGTATTGTAATTTAAAATTTATGTATTGATATATGCCTTTTTGTGGCTTTACTTTTAAACATTTTAAATATCTTCTTTAGAAGTCTTTACTCCACATTTATATTGTATAAAATAAACACTGCATATGTTTTAAAAATTTAAACTAATCTATTAATTAAATTATAAGCCTATTTGTTTAATCTTCCTACCTCCAACCTCATAGATTTCAACTATGTAGTAGCAGTGATTATTCCCTTCACTTGGACCAGCAAACTCGGGGTTTAACTGCAATGCCTGTTACCCTGGATCCACAATATCTATTAGTTACTGTGACCCATTTATTGTATGACATATTTAAAACACAAATAATTTTATTTTAGGACACAGTGAGATTTATAGAAACCAAACCAAAGCAAAATTAAAAAAAAAAAAAACTTGTGGTAAAGAAAAGTAGAAAATACAAGATACTTCACATTATGCTATGAGTCTGAGCTAAACTGAATTTAAAACATTAGAAAAAAAATAAGTTTTACTTTTCTTCTAACATGGAGAATGTTATTCCACAAGCAATCTATGCAAAATTAGTATTGAATCAAATACTCATCTCTTTTATAGAAAATATGTTGCAGTCTTTTTTCAAAGGCTATTTTCTTCTCTAATACTCCTGAGGTCAATGTGACCTTAGCTTAGTCCAAGCATTCCAGTCATCACATTAGAAAAAACTGCATAGATACATGCTCTTTTACAAATTTTATGAACTTACCAGAATTTATATGCTATACTTCTGCCACTCCATCCAGAGAGCTCAAGGTTCTTGAACTTGTACCTATCATTGAAATAGGTGTCCGCAAGCGTGTAAAAAAATTTGCATTATATTTTCATGTAGAATATTTGCTATATGGGGCCAGTAAAATGAATAAGAAAAGTAAATCCCATTATATCATGGCAAATCAGTAAGAGGTTATATTATTTTAGCTTATTGAGTCAAACTTTATTCACATCATAAATATCTACATTCAAGGAAATAAATGAATAATGTTTAAGAAAAAATCTGTGTTAATAAACGCATATGAGTTTATTTGATAAAGATGCTTTGTACCTTCTCTAGCATTTTTTTCCAAAGAGGTGATTAAAAATTTAGTAAAATATTATAAATTTAAATTTCATATTAATTCATTTTAATTCTCTTATAAGTAGTCAATAATGTTAAATGTTCAAAATACATATTTATAGGTGCTTTTTATTTAAACATTTTAAAACTTCTTTGTTTCTATTAAACTTTTACCATTATTTATAAAAAGGAAAAAATATTGAAGTGCATAAAATGCAAATTGACCTGTCAATTATATGCCCACTTTTAGCCTAATTGTCTCCTTCTTAAAATTTTTGCAGTTTAGTGTATTGAAGATGATTATTCTCAGTATATGTATAGAATTCATCCAAAAGATGTGCTTGAGACAGCAATCTGTAAGCAAATGTTCCTCTTCCTCTCATTTTTTCTCCTTTTCCTCCTCTGTCTTTTTCTTTCATTACTACTTTTAGAATTAAGCTGACATCACAGACAGAGCAAATGCACATTTTCAGGAAATCACTGTTCCCTCAATCCATTCAGTTATTTATTATCAAATTTTTTGATTCATATATTTGTGAGGCATTATTCTAGGGATGCAGATGTTAGTGTGAAGACGATGTTCAAAACCCTGCCTTCATGGAATTAGCTTTCATGTCTAAAAAATAAAAATATAATAACAAATTTGATGTCATATAACATATTTTCAGAGTTTTATATAAAATAATAAAATTGAGTAAGATGATAGAATATGATATAGGTGAGGTGTGAGTGTATTCAGGTATGGTGCTACATCAGTCAGAATGCTCATTGGTCTCCCAATGAAAGTGACATTTGAGCAGAAATATGAAAGGTAAAGAGAAGAAGCCAGTGTAGCTCACTGTGTGTGAAGAGTATTTTAGGAAATAACCTAAGATGGGAGAGTGGAAAAGCAGGAAGCCCAACATGCTGGTTAGTAAGGGGGAGTATGTAAGCTGATAAGGTCAGAAAGATATAGGAGCAAGCCATGGTGAGCAGTTGTACAAGATGAGTTAAAACTAAGAGATCTCTTACATCTAAAATGAAATTTATATAAAGCAATTTTAAAATGTCTGTTCATTGATTTAAAAGAGGAAGGGAGAGGGAGAGAGCGATAGAAACATCAATGCTGAAAGAGACTCACTGATGGGCTACCTCTTGCATGCCCCCATTGGGTTTTGAGCCCACAACCAAGGCAAGAGCCCTGACAGGGCATCAAAATGTGACCTCCTTGTTCATAGGTTGATGTTCCACCACTGAACCACTGGCAGGATGATATATAGCAATTTTTTCATGAGTATCAATGGATGTCATAAAAACCATGTGAAGATGGACAACTGATATCTTGTGGATTCATTCTGATTATTAATCAAGTAGAAAATAACAGGGGAGAACCGAAGATGGTGGCATAGGTTAACACCGGAGATTGCTGCCTTAAACAACCAATTCAAATTAAGCCTGAAAAAGGGAACCGACAACATCCAGAACCACAGGAGGGCTGGCTGAGTGGAAATTCTACAACTAGGAGTAAAGAGAATATCATATCCAGACTCAGAGGAGGCGCAGTGCTGAAGTGAAATTC